CTTTCAATCAGATATGTTGCAGTTAACTACAATTCTAATGTTATGACTTTAATTTTTCATAGTTATGAAAAGATACTGTTCACTCACTTTATTGTCAGAGTCACAAGAGAAGATCCAAGCTTGCGCTATTCGCATTCATTCATTCTCGCATACATCATGGGACGGAGGGGCAGTGGATATGGACATTAGCAATGCTACACCTATCTAGCTAAAGAAAAGTGTATTTACTTTTTTTAATTTGTAAACATTTAAACACTGGAAGGCCCTATGGTGAAGAAACATTCAGAACAAGTTGGAAATGTTAGAAAGTATATCTGCGTATAAAATTATTAAAATTATGGTTTTCACAAAATAAAAATAGAGTCATTAATAATGTTAGTGTATATAGGAATGACATCCAACCTGTCATTGCAAGAATAACTTCCTATGCAAATTAAATTTTGAGTACAAGTTTGCATCCTCCAGGGGCATTCTCCTACTCTCCCATAGGGAGCAAATATCTTTCCCAACAACACCCAGAGTTTTTGAAGAATATATATACTCCATTCAATGAACTAATATATCTACATTTGTTACAAGGCAAACTTGCAAATTTCTTAGAACCTGAATATGCAATTCAAATAATTTGGATCAGTGCAGTTTTTAGAACTCCAAACAAAAAGTGGCTGAAGAAATTAGTTAACTTCAGTTTTAAAATATTTTCTATTTATTAATTGAAAATAGAAAAAGTTTCATAGCTGCAAGAAAAAAGTTATAAAGAAGTAGAAACAAAATATTTGTGTAGGTGGAACATTGCTCATGTCACACACTTGTTTCATTGAACCCCATAGAAAGACAGAGGGAAAAATGACGCAGACAGACAGACTGAAGACACATTGAGGGGGCACAAGAAGAGCACAGTAACAAGAAGAAGACAAAAAGCACCAAACAATATTTTTGATCTTTTTTAGTTAATTTTTTTTTTTTGTCTTTTGGCTACAATACTTTGAAAGCTGACAATACGAAAGAAAGGCAGTAGATATGGGATTAGAAGTCATAGGTATTTTTATGCAAGGTTTATGAATATATTTTGTTTTCATTTCACTTCCCTCCTGTTATGATTGGAGATACTTTTGGGTTTTATCTCTCATGGTCTGCCAGTCAACTCTTGACACAGACAACTGATAGAAAAATGTATGAATACCACTGACACAGTGACAAGATGCGGGAACTTCACCACGTATTAAGTACTGAAGAAATCCCAAGTTTGTACAATAGCCAGCATAGAAATTAACTCAGCACAAACCTCAGTCACATAAAACTGCAATATATAAATATATATATAAGAACCACATTTACCATTAAGCCAAAATCAATCAGGGTACAGCAGCATACAAAGGCACTTTGCAATGCGTAGATTCTGAAAATGATCTGAAAAATATCTTTTTTGTCAAGATAGCCAATGCAGTCCATGACACTACAACTCACATTGCAAAAACTGCGCCCTGGGAGATTTTTCTAAAAAGTATGCTTTTCTATGCTGAACAATTGCAACATCACATTTTGCTGTCAAAAAATATCATAGGTATCACACATTTTATACATTCTTGTTGACAAATCACAGTTTTGAAAATCACATTTATAATGCTACCTTGTTTTTAGTCTTTCTCGTCAATGTCTGTTTTAATTTGGCAGCCCCTAACCATAAAAAGTTGCTTTTTGCCGTAATTCTCAATATTATGACCCAGATCTTTTGTAAGTTATTATCTTTTAAATACCAATAATTTACCAAATATTACACATTAATTTGCAATTTACAGCCAACTAGCATAAAAATATATCTAACTCTGTCTCATGAGTTGACTGTTTACACCAGATACTTTTGTCAGGTCTTCATATACAGTATAGTTAGTTTAATAGTTTCCACACCAAACAGCAGAGTTAACTATTAGTTTCAGTTTCATAACCAGGTCATGATAACCAATATTACATTCTGGATTTTTTTATGCACTTTAGTTATTTTTAACAAAAACATAATATCATTTAACATAATGGTTTTGGCCACTTCATCCAAACTGTTTTGAGTTGTGGGTTTTACCAAGTACTCACAAAGAAAAGTACATTTTCTATACGTAAAAAGCTATACATACATGTCATAGAGGAGTTCACAAAGGTTTAACACTCAACAATACAATTGAACTACAATAATGTGCAAAATGGTGTACTCAGTAAAGACCAAATTAATCAGGTTTGTTCTACTGGAACATAATGCTATTACTGAATTTGAGAAAATATGCACATTTTACAACAAGTTAGCTTCACAGATTTGACACAAGCACAAAATTATTGAACAGTTATTCACATGAATCCAACATCAAATTCATTGTAAAACATGCACATGGAACATTCAACAGAACATTCACATTGGTATGTTGAAAGAAATGTCACTCAACAGAAATCACTATCAACTATCCCAATTGTTTTTATGTTGTTCCAAAAATGTTTCCAGAACAAATGCTATTGGAAACACATTCAAACTCTCAAATATTGATTTGTATTGAATTTTGAGTATTCACTTTTCATTGTGGTGATAGTTATGCCAATAAAACATAACATGTATCAAATTTTTGATGTTTCATAACTAATGTCAAGTCATATTTTATAGAGACACGACCATTTTATAAATTACATGTCTATTCTACTGATGTGTTTAGATATCATACCATGTAATGTATGAATAGATATGTTTTGAAATCACAAGTTATTAGACATAAATAAAATTAATTGTTCACCTCAATGACATTATTATATCAAGAGGATATTAAAGAAAGTACCCATCAAATAAATTCTACATGTCAATGTATCTATGAATCTATAACTTTCCACTACTCTTTCTTCAAACTTGAGTTTGCAAACCTCTAATCACCTATGACTAGACTTTCCACATTTGAACACATTAAAAGCACTTCCAAAGAAAAAATATTAAGTAGGACACATTTCAACAAGTGGAAGACTTGATGCAAAATATTGGATATGTTCATCTTGTTTATAAAGTAAAACATTTGATACTGCCCTTCATTTGTTAATAATTTTAATGATTTCTTTTATATGTGCTTGACATTGTATTTTAATTTTTGGTTCAAAAACAATGCTTTCTCTTTTGTTTTCCCAGTGATTTCTGTTCATTTTATTTCTGGTATCTTATGCAATTGAGCACTTAAAGCATAAATGAGCATTTAAAACATAAATATTCATTTCAAATCTTACCAATTTTCTTGAAAACAAAATTTATAAAATTGACAGAAAAAAAGGAAAGTGTATGTTCCATGTGCTACAAAACCATAACAATCTGATACACAATTATCATACATAAACTCTTTCCACATATGAATAAAACTCTACTTCTAGTGTTTATATAATTATTTATATATATCTCCACTCTTGGGAACCTTCACAACTCAAACGTTTCAGATGTTTTTGGTTTGGAAACAATTATTGTGTGTGTGACACATTCAGAGTTGAATACATGAGAGGAAGTTACTTTTCTTGTACTGAATTTGCACACTACACCATGATGTATAAATGAAATTAACTGATGCATATCTGTATTTTGGCAAATTTTCAATACCTTTTCAATCACTTTTAATAAGCAAGTTCATACACCTGGATATAATAATTGTTTCTGTGTTTCGAATAACACTGCAAAAACCTATGTCTTGCAGATAGTCCAGTTGTCTTATAATATTAATATTTTCATTTTTACTATTGTCATTGCCACCGTCATAACAAGTGTCTTCATGTCAAGGAAAATATAAAATTGACAGGTAAAAATGATCCAAGTCAAAGAAAAGTAAATTATCTTCATTTACAAAATCTTCTTTCACAGTTACCTCATTTCAGTAGTATCACCAGTAAAAGATATACAAATACCTATCTAAACTGAGCCCTCATTATTTTGTTGCCTTTTATACTTTGAACAATAGACCATGTGTACTTGGAAGAATAAATAAAAAATTAGATAAGATTAAATAAGGTATTGAAAATAATTTTTCAAAAGACTTAAAAGAAGAAACTTGAATTCCCTCGGATACACTACAGTATGGGATTTTTGGTACGTTAAAAAAACTTTGTTTATATATATATTTATTTTTAATATATATGTACTATGTCTTAATGTCTAGATAATATATTTATAGGAAGTTCATGGTACCACTAGTGAGCTATATAGTAAGCATTCATTCATCTCCTTCCCTTGCTGTTAAAGTGACTAGGAGCTGGCAGTTGAACAAAGTAGAAGTTTCCCATATTTAAATAAGAATAAAAAAACAAAACAAGAGATAACAAACATACTGCATGTATTCCTGGTTCCACAAAATAATCTACGTCAATATATATATATATATATATTTCTCCAATAAATAAACATCTCTCAATTATATATCTTGTTTTCCTGCAAGTATATATATCATTTTTCAGTTCGAGTGCCAAAAACAAAATAAATTAGGAGAGAAGCAAGAGTCTCAGGGTTTTCTTATTCAGACCCTGCAGCAACTCGAATTTCGGTTAACCACGATGCTATCTTTGTATATTTTGTGTGTGTGTGTGTATGTGTTTTATACGTATGCATGTATGTACATGTGTGTGTATGTATGTATGTGTGTGTCTTTATATATATATATATATATATATATATATATATATATATATATATATGACACACACATACACATACATACAGACACATGTACATACATACACACCCTCATTTTATTAATAATCAAAGTTTTCCCATAAATTATTGTTTGTAACATATCTTTTGTGTAGTTTATACAATATATTCACTGAAATGTCTGGAAGGCTTGTGAATGTATTATACACAAGAGTTCATTTTATTTTTGGTTTAAACTTATTTATAATATAATAAAAGTTTGTAAATTCCTGTTTTTCCTATCATGTAGTATGAACGTTTATGTACAAAGTTGTTGTTTTTGTTACTCTTCTGCTATAACATTGGTTATTTATAGCTCGATGCACAAAGCACAACACACACAATATATTTTCTGTCAATAATGTTTATATTTATTTATATATATATATATGTATGTATATACGAGTTTCTTTTAAATATATATAGCATTTCTTATTTTTTTAAAATTTCTTTAGCAGTCGTAGCCACTTACTTAACTGTGTGTATATATAATTTTGTATATGTATATATATATTTATATATGACATATTTCAAATGCTATTTTCAAAGTCCTTATTTTATAGTACACCCAATCCCACCCTTTCTGCCCCAGCATATATTACCAAAAAGCCCCTTATTATTATCATGACGTATTATTATAAGTACTTATAAGTCCTTTTAACTTGAGGCAATTAATACACAGTTTTCGGACATAAGCGCTGACACGCACAGAGCATAGTTCATTTGTCAATGTTGCTTTACAAGAATATGATTATTTCTTTACAAAAGTCGACCTCACAAACATTATATTAACCAACCATTAATCCCAACTCAAAACATCAGGAGGGCCAGAGTCTTCCACAGTTTTTGGATACTTTTCAGACTTCATTGAATGTCCACTTATGCCATTTGGTACAACTTCTTGAATTCTGTAAATGTTTTTTGGATTGCTTGATCATATGGCATTTATAATGATGTCTTATCACTTCCACAATCCCATGTGGTTCCCATTTTCATCATGGTAACCAGCTGAATGCAAAATGTAGTTGCCATTTCTGTCGCACTCCTCCAAGTAGTGGTTTCACTATAAACACAATGCAAAAAAATATTAGGACAAAAGCTTATTGAAATCGCCAATAATATAATCATTGTTATTCACAATATTACATTGATTATAAACAACCCAAAAATAATACAAAAAATTATCTTCTTTTTCATTTATATTATATGAAAAAGATATTAAACAAAAACACATGCTGAATTTTTGAAAAATATGATTGTTGTAATTAGTTATCTTAATGAAGTCAATAAATAGTTGTTGGTAAAGATGGTGAAAAACAATTTATTACTGGCTAATAAATGCGTACAAGGACACATTTTTTTACATAACCATAAAAGCATGTGGAAAATAAAATAGTTTATTAGAGTACTTAATACTAAGATAGATGTCTACAATCACACTCAAATAAAACTACACTTTTTTGATAATGAAACACATGTGACTAGAAGAATAAGTCTAAATTCTAACTACGAATTTCTAATCTGGGTATTCATGCAGTTATACCATACTTTTTTATCATTTTACTGAATCATTGTTCATCACTCTTCACTAATTTACACATAAACAAACATTCCATAATTTGTTTAATGTTAAGATATTGGTAATTGTGTATTAATGTTAATCTTCAGATGAACTGTATTCCATTATTATCCAGTGGAATCAACATCAAGTGAATTTGACTTGAAATCACTACCAAAGAAATAAAGAGAATGTAATTTATCATTTGTAATTGAGCTTCAAAACAAATGTAATTTTTGTTACCATAACAGCAACATTTCCCATGCAATAAGTCTGTATGATTAGTATTTCATCATTGCTCAGTGAAATTTGAAATGTTTGTTTAACATTGTTCTACAATTTAACCAAAATAATATCAGTCCAGTCAGAGGAGAAAAAAATTATACTGCTACGCAAGACATGTGTTATTACTGATCTACATCGGTGAGTGCAAGATTAATTCAAGACACAAGATTAATGACAAGCCAGTGGACAATATAATAGATGTGTCATTTAATGAACAAGAGATTCATCATATGTCAAAGGAAACAAAGTAATGAAAATTGTTTTTAAGCTTATACACATTTTATAGAAAGGGAAAAAAAAGAAAAGAATCAATCCCCTGTTTATATCATTGCACAAAAAGAAATAGCATTGCAAAGAAGGAAAGCAGGGATTATTTAAGTCCCACTATTCACACATGGTTCCCTGTAAAGTCAGTTGAAGTACTGTAGTAAAGTTCCTTTTAATTTCCCTGCCATGCAAATTAAAAAAACGTAAATTATTTTATAAGAAAATATAACTCACACAATTTTCCGGGTACTAGTTGATAAATGTCAAAGTGCAAGTCATAGTGGTCACTGATGTGAGAAGGAATTGGGTACGGTTGAGAAGTTTCAGGATTTCTAAAGGTGGTCTGCAAAACCTTGCACCTAAATTTCAAGGTAATTCCAGGAAAACATGTAAATACTTCATTTGGATCAAAGGCTACTGCAAGCTAAAATCTCAGATTGACTTATAACATACTACATAATTGCACTGATCTTCAGTTTACTATTATCTGTTTCTTACTTATAAAACATTGCTAGGTTGTATCAATGATATGAAAGCTCCACACTATGTAGCTGTTTCACTTTGATTTGTTGAAGATCCATTTTTAAAGAATTTGTTTTTTAAAAACTTTTTAATTCTATCAATTAATTCCAAATAAGATAAAACAGGATGTTTGAAAAAATCAAAATTATATAAATTAGCTTTAATATAGGATGTTCTGGAAAGCAAGTTAATACATTTTCACTTTAATGAAATGTCTTGAAAAACAGAAGTAGACTATTTTCTACTTTACCATAGAAACTTTCTGAGCTTACAATTGCTTTAGCTAACATAAAGTTGTGCAATCATTTTAAATTTCTACATGATTTAAAGTAGAATTACTATACTGAGTGGAATGTAAAGACTATTTTTTAATATCTTTAAAAATGGACAGATAACAAAGTGATATTACTATTATGCAACTAACTAGTTTGGCTACTTGGCAGGGAGCTTGGTTAAGTTGTCTAAGCAAATGCTAAACTACAGTGCAAAAAAATGGCAAAAATAAATTAGCTATGGATGTTCTTGAAGGTGTTTGAGACTTTTCTTCCATTGTGATGAATTTGATACCTTCAAGAACCAGCACAGGAGCCTTCAACCCATCAACGCAGGATGCTAGCACAAAACCAAGGAAGATGTTGTTTAAACGAGAGCCCAAAGAGGCAAAGACTCCTGAGTCCTTGCCAGGGCAAGGGGCGAGCAAATTCTGCGCTGCTTCAGCTTCGAAGGAGGAGGCGCAGCGAGCCGTTTTCAGGACTGAGGTTAAACACACACAGCAAAACATCACCATCAGTCTACTGGGAGGCCCTAGGAACCTGGTGGCCATTTCTGCTGTCATGTGTTGATGCTGACTGATACATACAATGCAGAGTATAATTACTATACTCTGTAGATTTACAATTAAAATTCTCAGTAATGATACATAAATAGCAAGTCATACTGAGAACTTTTATGAACTGTAATGAATGGAGTTCTACTGCATTACAACGCACATAAAAATTGCGCATTATATAAAAAAAAATTTCATCAAAATCAACAAATTTGGACTTTCTGATTCACATCTAATTCAAAGGTTATCCTATTTGAATAGTAAAAAACAAGATAATGAACCACTTGGATACTAATGAAAGTACACAGGTGGATGTTTACATTTGTATAGTTGAAGGAATTTGAGGGATGTGGGTGATGCGCAACGAGACCTCATGCTCATCATTCCTCATGCCTAGATGATCATACATCTTTCCTTTCTCTGACTGGTATGAGATGACCCAAACCAGGAAACTCTTCATGGCAAAATTAAAACTAACAAGAACTCTTAGTTGCCTTTGATCCAAAAAATTACTATGATTTTAGATGAAAAACTAAAATTAATCCTACCAACCAATTAGAATTTAAATGTTCCTGGAAAGCTTATTATTCAACAATAGATCAAAAACAAAACAACACATTTTTTTTATAAGAAAATTCATACAATGTATTTTAATGTTTGTTATTTTTTTTATTGGAGAAAATTTAACAGTGCTTTGTATTTGACTGTATGTGAATGATGAGCTTCCCATATCAATGTTCCAAAGCTTAAGATTTAAATTTTGAGCCCTTAGTGATACCTCTATACAAACACAATGTATTGGAAGATAATATCCACACAACCTATGAATCATATCATACAATGAATAAGTTAATTTTCATGTTATATTGATCACTGGAAGATGAATTCTACACTATTTATCATGAATTTTCATTCTAATGTTCATAGCTTTGTGGATATTTGTAGGATACAAAGAAAGGAAGCAGGATGAAGCATAATCAAGAGGAAAACTTCCCAGAGAAGAGATTTAAACAATATTTATAAAAGTCTTCCCAGAAAGCACTCTCTTGAAATGCGTTTTTAGCCTGTTGTCTTTTAAAACAATTCAATAAACCTGTGGTCATGCGATAAAAGTTCTTAAGTCAATTTTTAGCGAAATAGGGTTAAGTTCTGAACCTACAAGTTAAGTATCTATATTTTATTGTAGTAAAATGATTGAATTAAAATTTGGCCTCCTTAACAAGAAAAATGCATTGGGAAATAGTGTTGAGTTTAGGAAAAAACAGTGGTTAAATAATGCAAACCTTGTTTTCTTCAAACTAAGATTTTTGACCTAAGAACTTTTACCCCATGACCACAGAAACAACTATCACATAACAGTACAAAAACCTTACAATATTAATAAAATAATTTAGACAGTTGCATGTATTGAGATAATGGATTTTGTCAAAAGACAACGGACTCAAACATTGCAGGTCCACAAGTTTCACAAGAAGCGAAGGATGTGGATGTGGAGGAGTCACATCAAGACACTCGCATAAAAGGGCCAGTGGTTTGCATGTTTGTGAAATACCTACTGTTTAGAGAAATGAGCAGAAAGCAGTAGAATCATCATGATCAGCATCAGCATCATCTCATCATGGCATCGGGCAAACCAGGCTTGGTGAGGCAGCTAATGTGTGGTACAATGGAAAGGAAAACAGGGGAAGACTCAGAGGAAAAGGTGAGAAAGAAAATGAGGTTCAATTTTATATTCTGTGTTTGTAATATATGAATGTGTATGTGTGTATGTGGACAATGAAAAAGAATAAAATCTGGAATTGATAGCTACAGACTAGTATTTCAATAAAAGCTCTCATTACAGATTCTCTTCATAACAAATATTCCCTAAATGAAACAAGATCTATCATTAAACTCTTGAAATTGACATTATTGTTGGCAACATGGCACACACTTAACAAAATAATACAAATTGAACAAAAATATGAATATTAGTAGGTACTTGATTTTTTGAGTCTCTGGGTTGTTGTGACAATGACATTTGAGTCTTAAAATCTGAGAACTGAGACCCATTCAATCCCAAAAATGAATTCACTGAAAGCACATTTCTGTGTCTGATCCAAGGCCAGACATAAGGGGTATTAAAAAGAGAGGTAAAATAATGATAATTAATAAAAGTAGTTGTAGTAGTAGTAATAATAATAATAATAATAATAATAATAATAATAATAATAATAATAATAATAATAACAACAATAATAATAACAATGATGATGATGATGATGATGATGATGATGATGATGATGATGATGATTAAAAAAATGCAGAATGAGGTAACGTGGAGCGGAGGGGAGAGTGGTGTGGAGGGGGGAGGGGAGGGGAGAAGGGGCCTGGGTTTGTGACCGTGCGCTACGCCTACGCGCGGGTGGCAGCCGTGGCCAGGCCGTGGCCGCCCTGCTCAGTGGCTGGTGAGGGAGTCCAGACTGGCCAAGGAGCTGCGGCGGGAGAGGCCGAGCGAGGGTGGGCCACTAACCAAAGAGGTGGTCCCAAACAGCTTGTACCAGCCGATGACGATGTTGGAGAGATTCAGGTCATCGAGGTGGATCTGGGCCACACCCATAAACACCTTCTTGCCCTCAATGCGGCCATAGTCGCCCCATACTGTCACCTGTGAAAATACACAAGTTATGATCATTTATTACCATTATTCACTTTTTAACTGACACGATCAATTGAAATAACAGATGTGTTACAATGTAGAAAACGTTTTCTTTCAAGAAATGATAAAATTCAGAATAAATTTACGTACTCATTGTGTGATCAAATACAATACAAAATAACAAAACATCTAATAAACAAATACATAGCAATAAAAACTAGTACTCTTTCTCACTTTTTTGTTACTGCTACGCAATAATTTACTACCACTTGTACCTGCAAAAGTATTTCCAACCAGCAAATTGTTTTCTCGGCATTGAGATTCAAAGTCAGGTACATTGAGTTTGTGCACCAGTGAGTTACATGTATTGTATCATGAAACACCAATTTTTCAAAATTGTATCATGAAATTGAAACTAATTTTTTGAAGAGATATGTTCAAATGCGAATTTCTGTTGATTTAAACAATTCTTTTCATACGAATGATCTGGCTGTCCGGGTGAAGCTGCGTTGAAGGCTGTGATGCCGATATTTCGATAATCTTATCGTTGTCTTTGCTCTGCTTTTTGTTGTATTGTTTCAGCCTGCTCTCCCTGGAGATCATCACGCCGGAGATTTTGTCGTTTATTTGTAGTTTATGGGCTCCGCCCGACCCGCAAAGGGCCGTTTTAACAGCTTTGGCGGCCCTTGGGCCTACGTTAATTTGCTCCCTCCCCATTACTATCACCCATTTTCCCCGCAATTTAAATGCTAGTTTTGTTAAAAAACTGAACTTCTCATCACCGAATGACTTTCTTGCATCAACCAGTAACATTCTATATTATAAATATTATCCATAGATGCCAGACACTTCACTCCGTTATTCCAATTTTTTGCGTATAGTTTAATCATTCATCAATTTTTATATGCTTTTTATTTTATTGTTTGAAACATTTAGTTCTCAATAATTTTTAAGCACTATCGGGAACCCCGGGTGCAGGCGCGGGCGCGGACCCTTCGGGACTGCGCGTTAAGACAGGCCTGGTCCCCCTACAAGACGGGGAACTGGGTTGCAGGTGAGTGTGGTCGGCTTAGGTTATTTTGTTTGAGGGCATGTGTTATTTTATTAAGGGCTTTTAGGCGTAGAAAGTTAAAAAAGAGATGGAGAAATGGAAGGAAACAGGAACGGTGAAAGCTTCGTTCTAGTCTGTCGTTGTTCGTTCTAGTCGAGTCATGTCCTCTGGTCTAGGTTGGAGATGGGGGAAGCCGAAGAATGTCAAGGGAGTTTCCGATTCTCGTGTCTTGGAGGGTTTCTAAGGATAGCTTATTCTTAAGTTGCCCCAAATTACTAATGCTATCTGTAATGTAAGAGTAGGGTAATGTGGGGCAAGAGTCTACACTTTTTATAAAAAAGTAAGATTCCACTCGTGTAATTGGTATATTGATTCGGTTTATACACATATCTACGCTTAATGTTTGAAGAATGAACTCTCCCCACAAGAATGAAGTATCTTGAAATTTGATGCCTAAAAACATTAAGGAATATTAAAAACATTTAAACATTAAAGAAGGAAGTGCAGTGTTTGGACTCTTGCCCCAGATGCGGGGTAAAAGTCCAAACAAAAAGGGCAAAAGTTCGAATATACAAAACACCTAAACTTTCTTAGAAATAAATTAATAATATTTACAAGGCTCATATGCATCACATCAACTATAGTAAATGATTACATGTAATACATAGATTCTAAAAGGTCAAAATAAAGTTTCCAATTGCAAATTATATTCTGATAAATTCAAAAATAGAAAATTAAATCTCATAATAAATTCAAAACAGATACTGTATACATTAATTCTTACACAAATCACACAAAAATTGCCCTCTCTTATAGGAAGTGAATTTTTCCTGCCACCACTCTTAATCGGAATCATATTGGATTCAGTCTTGAGTTGGAGGGTCCTCGAATTCCATTTCCCAAACAGAACACGTCCCTATCGAAGTATTTTCAGTGGCAACTGGTTTATTATTCTTTCCCTTTTCTCTCTTGTTGGTGGAGTTGCAAAGCGATTTCTTCTTGGCATGTCAGCAGGGGACTTCTTTCGTCGCCACACTTTCTCTTCAACCCTGTCTTTCGGATGGGCATAATGTCCGATGAAGAGGAATGTTGTTTACCGCGATTCTCTGAAGTTTCACAATTTGGAGAATCGCGTTCCTTAGCGTGTGTTGTGAACTTGCTCAATACAGATGGCGACAGCTCCGGCGAGTGATGAATGGTTTGATCACATGACTACTGTGACGTCATGGATACTCACAGCGACCACAGACACAGAGCTTTCGTATAACAAATATATTTATTAACAAGAAAACAAAACAAATATATACACTTATTAATCTACTTAAACCCTAGCTCTGATAGACCTACTATCCCCTGATCGCGGGAGCGATCCAAAACCCGATTGAAGATGGTTTTGATTGTGGCATTCGCCACTCCTACTTTTGAAGCGCGCACAAAGCCTAGCTTCCGTGACCGGATGTCACGCTGGGACACAAAGTCCGTTCTGGCGCACCAACGGCTGGTTTGCCTCGATCGCAGGAGCGATCTTATCCGATTGAGAATCGGCGTGAATCGTGGCACTCAACCACTCTTCACCTCGGAGCACGCACACAGCATCGCTCCCCCGTGACCGCAGTCACCCAAGGACATAAAGTCCGCAGGCTTCGTCAACTAATGACTCCAGCCTCGCGAGCCTGGCTCGCATATGCACCGTCTCGGCACCAAGTTTTGTGCACACGCACGAGGTTCTCCCACCGTCTCCAGAACCTGCCTACTGGCTCCGTACACTCTGTTATATAGGCGAGGCCCACGTGACCTCCTACGTCACGCCACCCCCTCGCTTGTTATAACAGTGAAAAGCGTCTATAAGCCGGAAGACACCCAAAGCCTTGTGTCTCCCGTCTCCGCGTTCTTCCCTTTACGGAAAAACCCTACTTCCTGTGGCGAGACTAATCCTGCGAAGCGTCCCCAAATAGATGCCACGAGGCACGCTGGCTAATACGTTACACTACCTTCTTCAAGATATTAATTTAATGCAACTCATCTGTTAGTGTAGCAGGAGATATGAGCACAGGAATCCAAATTCTCGCAAGAACATCAGCTATGCCACCTTTCAATTTATGTTGCAGAAGTGCTGATTTCACAACTCGAACTCACTAATTGTTCCGTCCACAACACAAAGCCCTCGCGCAAAGGCGGGTGGTCGCTCCCTCCCTCCGGAGGCGGCCGCTCCCGCAGGGTGCGCCCGCCGCACCCACAGCTGCCCACCCGCGGCGCCGGCCTCCCCCGACCTGGCGGCCACCCACGATTTCCCCGAAGGGGGCTGCAGCCTTCTATCCTTGAAATGGCACGTTCACTTGTGCCCAGGCCAGACTTGCGAGAACCACCGGGAGAGGCACAGGCCACACCGCTTGTCTAGGACCTTTTCGCTGGTCAGTCTCCGCGCTCACGAGCTCCTTTGATGTTTTGCGCTTCGCGCACATACCGCTGCCCTCGGCACGTGTATAAAGTAAGTTGAGTGCGCTACTCGGTCATCGACGAACAGCCACTAAACGGGTTGTAGCCGCTGTTAGTTGTGAACCTGCCATCGGCGGGTACTACAGTGCGGTATGAACAGACCCGACTCATACACCGTCAGTCACCTGCTGGCGAGAGACCGTGTATGCCGCACGCACACTCCTGCTATGAGGGCCCACCTAATGCCAGGTCCGTGGTCAAGCTGCGGGCCAGACTTTCCGTTACCAGCGAACTGTGTGGGACGCCTACATTCCCGCTTCGTTCGGGAGAGGAGCAGCTCTGAGGTCCACGCATGCCGCAGCCACCCAGCATCAGGTATTCGGCAACGCCCATGGACGTGTACTGCGACCAATCTTTACGACGTCACCTTCACGGTGATGAGTTAACATAGAAGTAACGAGCAGTCATTTTGTATCATTCATTTAATTTCATTTCTGTACAACTAACATGTCATTTTGTCATATCATCACATCCACGAACAATAGAAATCTAGTATCAATAAATAGTATGTGCAATGACATTCTCGTAGTTTTTTCATCCTCCACCTCCTTCCTTAACCAGTACCATCCCTCTCCCCCACCCCCCGGGCACCTAACGGCCCGGTGCGGTGTACAATTTATTTTGTATAGAGAAGGGTCTTTCAGTCATCTAATGCACCCCCTCCCCCGTTCTAGGTATTCCCCCCCCCTTCTCTGTACAGTAATTATGCTAATCGGATTGTTGCCCCCATGCGGACTTTTGCCCCCTGCTACTCTAGTATTTTTGAGTTCCTAAGGTCATTGTAAATAAAAAGGTATTAAGTACCAATTAATTTAATACTTACTCAGGTTGAACTCACAGTTGGAAGAGAAGTGTGGCAAAAGGCTAATACATTCTGCTAACTAACACGGTTTACTCACATCAAAAACTGTAAATATTAAAAATATTAAAACCCTCACCAATACCCTCAACATACAGCAAAAACAATTCCCAACCCATTCTACTAGATCATACTCTAACATCCTCTGATCAACATTAACGTTATCAGCAACCAACATACAACCTTCCTCTACTACAAGACCTGAAAGAAAACTTCTCGTTTATTACTTTTTCGTATACGTACGTATATACGGAGTAATATTTTCCGAAATGAAAACTCCCCGGTAAATCTGGCCAGACTGGAACTGCGATTTTGAAAAACATGGAAAAAATTGGGCATACTCTTTCCAGGAGGCCCCTGGAACATTCAAAATTCTCTCAAAAATAGCTCAAAAATGTTTCTTTACATTTCTTGTAAGAATAGAGCAAGAGCATTTTTTTTAAATTACCAAATGCATTAAAAAAAATCTCTCATCCCCTTGATATGCACATTTCCAGCGACTTTTATGCATTATTGCACATATGAGTAGAAGTGGTTCAAATGATTTTCAATTAAGTTTTTAGAAAACTCAAAAGATTTTTTAAAAATTCAAATTTCAAATTG